GCAGACGATTGGTTGGTTGTATGGAAGTCAGCAGACGATTGGTTGGTTGTATGGAAGTCAGCAGACGATTGGTTGGTTGTATGGAAGCCAGCAGACGATTGGTTGGTTGTATGGAAGTCAGCAGACGATTGGTTGGTTGTATGGAAGCCAGCAGACGATTGGTTGGTTGTATGGAAGTCAGCAGACGATTGGTTGGTTGTATGGAAGTCAGCAGACGATTGGTTGGTTGTATGGAAGTCAGCAGACGATTGGTTGGTTGTATGGAAGCCAGCAGACGATTGGTTGGTTGTATGGAAGCCAACAAACGATTGGTTGGTTGTATGGAAGCCAGCAGACGATAGGTTGGTTGTATGGAAGTCAGCAGACGATTGGTTGGTTGTATGGAAGTCAGCAGACGATTGGTTGGTTGTATGGAAGTCAGCAGACGATTGGTTGGTTGTATGGAAGTCAGCAGACGATTGGTTGGTTGTATGGAAGCCAGCAGACGATTGGTTGGTTGTATGGAAGTCAGCAGACGATTGGTTGGTTGTATGGAAGCCAGCAGACGATTGGTTGGTTGTATGGAAGTCAGCAGACGATTGGTTGGTTGTATGGAAGCCAGCAGACGATTGGTTGGTTGTATGGAAGCCAGCAGACGATTGGTTGGTTGTATGGAAGCCAGCAGACGATTGGTTGGTTGTATGGAAGCCAGCAGACGATTGGTTGGTTGTATGGAAGCCAGCAGACGATTGGTTGGTTGTATGGAAGCCAGCAGACGATTGGTTGGTTGTATGGAAGCCAGCAGACGATTGGTTGGTTGTATGGAAGCCAGCAGACGATTGGTTGGTTGTATGGAAGCCAGCAGACGATTGGTTGGTTGTATGGAAGCCAGCAGACGATTGGTTGGTTGTATGGAAGTCAGCAGACGATTGGTTGGTTGTATGGAAGCCAGCAGACGATTGGTTGGTTGTATGGAAGTCAGCAGACGATTGGTTGGTTGTATGGAAGCCAGCAGACGATTGGTTGGTTGTATGGAAGCTAGCAGACGATTGGTTGGTTGTATGGAAGCCAGCAGACGATTGGTTGGTTGTATGGAAGCCAGCAGACGATTGGTTGGTTGTATGGAAGCCAGCAGACGATTGGTTGGTTGTATGGAAGTCAGCAGACGATTGTTTGGTTGTATGGAAGCCAGCAGACGATTGGTTGGTTGTATGGAAGCCAGCAGACGATTGTTTGGTTGTATGGAAGTCAGCAGACGATTGGTTGGTTGTATGGAAGCCAGCAGACGATTGGTTGGTTGTATGGAAGTCAGCAGACGATTGGTTGGTTGTATGGAAGCTAGCAGACGATTGGTTGGTTGTATGGAAGCCAGCAGACGATTGGTTGGTTGTATGGAAGCCAGCAGACGATTGGTTGGTTGTATGGAAGCTAGCAGACGATTGTTTGGTTGTATGGAAGCTAGCAGACGATTGGTTGGTTGTATGGAAGTCAGCAGACGATTGTTTGGTTGTATGGAAGCCAGCAGACGATTGGTTGGTTGTATGGAAGCCAGCAGACGATTGGTTGGTTGTATGGAAGCCAGCAGACGATTGTTTGGTTGTATGGAAGCTAGCAGACGATTGTTTGGTTGTATGGAAGCTAGCAGACGATTGGTTGGTTGTATGGAAGTCAGCAGACGATTGTTTGGTTGTATGGAAGCCAGCAGACGATTGGTTGGTTGTATGGAAGCCAGCAGACGATTGTTTGGTTGTATGGAAGCTAGCAGACGATTGGTTGGTTGTATGGAAGCCAGCAGACGATTGGTTGGTTGTATGGAAGTCAGCAGACGATTGTTTGGTTGTATGGAAGCCAGCAGACGATTGGTTGGTTGTATGGAAGTCAGCAGACGATTGGTTGGTTGTATGGAAGTCAGCAGACGATTGGTTGGTTGTATGGAAGCCAGCAGACGATTGGTTGGTTGTATGGAAGCCAGCAGACGATTGGTTGGTTGTATGGAAGCCAGCAGACGATTGTTTGGTTGTATGGAAGCTAGCAGACGATTGTTTGGTTGTATGGAAGCCAGCAGACGATTGGTTGGTTGTATGGAAGCTAGCAGACGATTGGTTGGTTGTATGGAAGTCAGCAGACGATTGGTTGGTTGTATGGAAGCCAGCAGACGATTGGTTGGTTGTATGGAAGCCAGCAGACGATAGCTTGACAGACTGGAGCTAGAGATACACAAAAGGTGTTGTAGTAGTGCGGTGGTGATGATGTTGTAGACTTGAAGTAGTGCGGTGGTGATGATGTTGTAGACTTAAAGCTAAACCACAAACAGCTGGGGGATGTGGGGCAGGGATGTTGCAGGCGATGACCCAGGCTTGGATGTCATGACCCCGATGGCATGACCTAAATGACATCACCTAGATGTCATAACCTGGATGTCATGATCTAGAAATAATGACGTAAGAGCAATTAGTCAATAGGGTATTTCGTTGTATGGTATGTATGTTTATGTCATTTTGTGTGTGTGTGTGTATGTATTTTTATATGAGTGCATGTGTTTATACTGACCATAATTCTAATTATAGAAGAACACCAGGGCGTGTATAACACAGAAAGTGACAGCTTAGTCGAAGGCAGAATCTGCTAGGATAAGGACAGCTGGGATTATGTTGGTTGTAGTATTTTGGTTGGGATAGGGACAGCTAGCATTATGTTGGTTGTAGTATTTTGGTTGGGATAGGAACAGGTGGGATTATGTTGGTTGTAGTATTTTGGTTGGGATAGGAACAGCTGGGATTTTGTTGGTTGTAGTATTTTGGTTGGGATAGGAACAGCCGGGATTATGTTGGTTGTAGTATTTTGGTTGGGATAGGAACAGCTGGGATTTTATTGACTTTGATGTTTGTATATGTTACATTTGTCGTTAGGATATTTGTACATGTGAACATGAAATCGCTGCTGATGAAAATGAGCTAAAGAATTCAAATCTATCACATTCGAACCTAACATTATAAACAAACTCATTAATTAGATAAGTCTTTAATATTACGTACTATTACAATAACTACACTAACCATAAAAAAAAAAAACTTTCGGCCCTAGCCCTATTTTACAGTATCTTTTAATTCCTGTCCTGAATTTACCTGAATCTTAACGTAGCCTTAACAAAACTAAAGAACAGAAATATCAATACTGTTTTCTACTGAATGTGAACTTGTGGTATTAATGTAAGTAAAGACTTGATTGATACTTACCTGCTCATACACCCGGAGGTAATGAGGAAAGTGTAAACAATATGGCGTCTGCAATCTTAGTGCAGACTTGTGTTAAACGGTGCGGTGCGAACGGTACTATCTAATTATCAATATCGCAAAGGTATTTTTTTTACTTTCTCGTAGATCTATATACGAAGTATAGAGAAAGTCTTGTAATCGTGAAAAAAAATAATAATCCAGATTTTTACAAATCTCGACGTTTTACACCTCACTGATACGGAAAAACATAATTTTGCAATCTTGTCCGTATGTCTGTGTGTCTGTCTGTGTGTTTGTGTGTGTGTTAGTGTAAACACGATAACTTGAGTACCGTTACAGCTAGGTTGATGAAATTTCATATATAAGTATTTTATCAAAATCGTAGATCCGTATGAACTTTTGAGTTATTTCCGATAACCGGAAGTGGTACTTTTTTTACTTTGAATTTTTCAAAAGTCTATAACTTGAGTACTATTTCAGATAGATAAATGAAATTTCACAACTAAGTAAAATATCTAATCCTCTACCACCTATCAAATTTTGAGTAATTTCCGTTGAACGGAAGTAGTAATTAATGCTATTTCCGATTTCTCACAAAACGCTTGTAAATTTATTAAGTACTAATAATATTGCGCACTATTATGCACATTTTGTTTTGGCGTTCGCTTGGTGCGCAATTCTTTTTTCTATGAGATTCTATTCTATTTTTAAAAGTTTAAGTATTTAAAATGGATTAAAAATCATAACTATATCCCGAGTTCCCATCCCCTGTTGTTTTATATAAGAATATTCGAGAAAGTTTAGGGGAGATCACTCCCGGTTGATTATTTTTTTTACTAATGGCAATACAATAGTTTTCTGAGAGTTAGGTTTAGATCAAGATAAGAACAGCGTTGCCGGAAGGAACCGTTTCTTTGCTGGTGTTTTTATGAATGAAAGTTTTCAAAAATTTCTAAGCAAACCAGATTTTCACATTTTCGAATGTCAAGGGTTTAAATAGAAACATCTTATCGTTGAAGTCGTTTCAAGTTACCAACTAGACGCATATCTATGTGCTCCTTTATTTATTTAATGTAATAAAGATGAATAAGGATTATTTCATCTTCTTTCATGTTGTTGTGTATGTTTTTGTGTATGTTTTTGTGTATGTTTTTGTGTATGTTGTTGTGTATGTTTTTATGTATGTTTTTGTGTATGTTTTTGTGTATGTTGTTGTGTATGTTGTTGTGTATGTTGTTGTGTATGTTGTTGTGTATGTTGTTGTGTAAGTTGTGTACTAACAATATAAAAATTACTAACTCTTAATAAAAAACAAAGTAATTGATACAAGAATAATAATGTAGAGATTTGTTCACCCTTTAAGCATATCTCGGACCAGAGGCGTAGCGACCCTTCCCGGCGCCCGGGGACATACTTTTCGATGTGCCCCCCCTCAAGATTTCGATTTGCACCTCCCCCTTCAAACCTTCGATTTGCACCACCCCCCTCAACCTTTCAATTTATTTTTCCAAGCCATTTTGGCGCCCCCTAAGGTCGGCGCCCGGGGACATATGTCCCCCGCCCCCCCTCGCTACGCTACTACCTCGGACTTTCGGCCAAATTTTAACTTATTAGAACGTTTATTTTCTTACACAACACACAGAGACAACAAACATCTGTCAAGCTCCTGTTTCTTCAGTCCTGAACTTATACAACCGGTAAATATGTAACGGCTGCGGGTGTTAGTTTTAAAGACAAACAAACGAACAATTATGAAAGACAGAAAAAATAACATTATTTCACTGATAAGTTTTAATAATTACATGATTTAAAATAAGTTAAAAGTTAATTAGTTTTCATTGAATGGTTGAGTTTTGAAGTTGTTGTGTTGACGGGCGCGAGAAGTTTCAGGGACTTTTCAACAACTCCTACACATTTTAAACAAGATGGGGACGTGTATGTAATTAATACTTTAATCAGTCAACTCAATTTGGACACTACTTCCACTTCTCTTCCGATCTGAATCGGAAATTTTTCTAATTTTCGGGAATGTGATCTTGTGTTGTTGTGTGATGAGTTTCTTCAGTCGGCTCAGCATGAAGTCGTTCTCGGTGATGATGGCTTTCTTCTTGGGTTTTTTGCGCGACTTGCTAGACGAGGTGTTCCTGCTGCCTTTGGAGCTGTGCACGCTTCTCTCGGCCTCGTACACCACCGAATTCACTTCCGTGTCGGAAATTTGTTTTCCGAGCATCATCTCCGACGAGGTCGTCTCTTCCATAGATCTCTGCCGCAGGAGTTTGAACTCCACAGGGTGGGTCTGCTTCAGGGGGTAGCACCCATGGCTGGTCGCGGGGACTCCGGGTTGGACCAGTGGACCCTCGTCTACGCTGCCTGGAGTAGAATTCGGCTCCGTCTCCCCGGGGTCGAACACAGTACCTTCCTCTGGGCTCCCCGGGGCAGAGTTTGACCCCATTGCTGGCGTGCGAGAGGTCGTAGCCTGACGGAACTAAAGATGCGGTAACCAGCTGAAGATTACTTCACTGGTTTTAGGAGTTTACTGCAGCGGTTACTGCAGTTGTTACTGCAGGTTCTTGAAGCAGAAGGACAGCCATAGCGTAGTGGTTTCATAGCCAGAGTTTACAGAGACTGGAAACAGTGTATAAATATATATATATATATATATATATATATATATATATATATATATATATATATGTACTATTTAAATTGTCAGTTGGTTTGGTGAGAATTATAATCTGGAAGCCCATTTCAGATTTTTAAAATCTACAAATTATTACAAAGTAATATATTTGACAGTTTTATACATTAGCGACTGAACAGCCTAAGTAAAGCCCTACAAGCGATCCACGCTGTTATTTAAGTTGGTGTAAAGAGTTGAATTATTATGTTTGAAGACAATATTTTATTATTTTTATTTTTAGTGCCTATATTAAAGCTTATTACTTACGTTTCATAAAGTGATATTTTTCTTAATTTTTTTAGTATCCAGAAGTTGCATGACTACAAGCTAACGGGCAAAACTACCGAAATTATGTTCAATGCTCTAATCATTATAGAAAATATGAAAACAAAATTCTTTCAATTTCTTCGAATGTTAACACAATTTCATTGACCAGATGCCTTTCGATACACGAAGAGTAGGGATGTAAGGGTCAGGTTTAGTTTTATCGTTATGTCTGTCTTAGGCCTGGCTTCTAGGGGCAAGACTCAGGGTCAATAGTTTTACAACAGAAAGCCTTGATTATTTAACGCCGATTTAATTACTGTCAATAATTTTAAACTTGTGTGACCCCCCCCCCTCTCCCACCCCAACTGACTTCTCAAGTGTATTTATATTCACAAGACTTTCAAACCCCAAACATTTCAACTGTATATTTTTTTTCGAAACATTACATTTGCAACATCCACTATTTTTTAAATAAAGTGGCCAACTTCGAGACCTCTTCCGTAATCCTCATACCGATCTTAAATCCGATCCATGAGCCTAATCCTAATCTTGACACTTACAAAGTTTCCCAAATATAGTCTAGCTAAGTCTAGTATCAAATAATGTATCAAAATTATATCTTATTCGGTAATTCGAGTATTGGCTATGTCGGATTTCATGAAGAAAGTAATGGTTGCATGTGTTTATGCGTGTGTTTTAACGTTGTGAATGTTTTATGGGTGTGCTTGCTTTCAGTGTAAATGGATGTTTACTGTGTTGACTGATTGTTTTGTTTCTAACATATTCGAGTGTTACTTACTGATTTCGACCCCGGAAGTGACGTAAACTTTCTTAACACAAGTGCTCGTTATGGTCAAAACAACTTGGTGCGCATTACTTTGGTGCGCATTACTTTGGTGCGCATTAATTTGGTGCGCAATACTTTGGTGTGTACGACTATTGGGCTTGTAAGTTGTTAAAGTAGCTTACCAAGTTCTCGCTCCGGTAGTTGCCAGCTGGCGTTTTTTTGTTTTTTCAAACCAAATGTGAATATTTTTTTTTTTTTTTTTTTTTAAGTTATGAAATCTACTTTCGTTTTTGGAATAAAAAAAACTCCGACAATAAGTTGTTTTAAGTAAATTAAGTTTAAAATAACACACACACACAAATATATTATATTTTATATAGATCTAGATAGATCTAGAATACAACCTGTATAATAATAATACATCTATAATCTATATAAAATATGATATTTATAGGCCTAAAAGATTTCGATCGTAAATCTGAAATCAAGCCTAATTTAATTAATAAATAAATATATAGCCTAGATCTAGAGTCTAGATTTCTAGATCTAGAATTCTATATCTAGATCTATGACTTAAAAAAAACCCTCTTGAAAATTCCGACTTAGACAGTAACATACGACATACAGGATTTATTTTTAATTTATAGACTAAAGAGTAGTCTAGAGATCTAGATTCTAGATCTAGTTTCTTTTATTTTGCAGTGTAGTTGAGTGGAATTAATTACTAAATTACTAAATAGGCTATTTACTTTAAGACAGGTAGACTAGAATATGTTCAATATCAATTTATATATAGAATCTAGATTATTCTAGATCTAGCGAAGTTTAGTGTAGTCTTGTTGTAGAACTTAAGAACTAAATCTAGAGTGTAGGCAACTGTAGTAATTTAGATCTAGAATCTAGTACTGTGTGACGTCATTTTAGGGGGTGGGGGTCTGGCTTTTTGTGATGATGTGTAGGGGGAGGGGGGGGGAGGTAAAAATCGTCAAAAAAATGCGTGACGTCATTTATAGATGACCCCCATGGAGAAGATCCACACAGAAACAGTTGAAGGAAAGGGGCCTAACATTCAAACAGGTAGAGGTACCAACATGATTTTAGAGATTATGTAGATATACATATATATATATATATATAGGGGGAGGGGTAGAGAGAGAGAGGGTTCATCTGTAAATTGCATCACACATTTTATGATGATTTTTACCTCCCCCTCATAAAGGAGGGCAGTAAAAAGAAGAATGTATGATAGCTGGGTAATCCTAATTTATATAATCAGATTATTGTGGTAAATAAAAGTCAAGATATCTAGCCTAACAAAATGCCATGAATTTAAAATATATATTATGACTTAGAGAAAGTTTGGTGAAATGGAAATATCTGCAAATTTGATTTATTGATGATGTGTAACTTGTTTATATTATTCCTTTGGAGCTGATATTAATAAAAAATTAATGAAATTATAGAGTTTTATCCAATTGATGTTTCTAAAGCCTTGCATGAACTTAATTTAAATATATTTAGCTGCCCAGGCAAAGAACCCAATGAATTTTCCAGAATTGGCTTGTCGTTTGACCGATGGTAACAAAGAGAATCACCCAGGATCTTCGCTGATAAGAAAATCTGAAGACATACGTTATTCTTCTATATCTAAATGTGATTTGTCTAATGAAAATATTTATTCAGTAACAATTGCTAAAGATATTTTACCATTATTTCAAACATCATCTTCTGAAATGTTGTTTTCTATCTCTAAACCTTCCACAATTTCTTCAAGTTTCAAGAGATATCTTAACATCATTGCCTACTTCCCACAGTTCTTATGTTCAAAATTTGCAATTTTCTGAGAAACAAAGTAATAATAAATTTGTACCCAGTGTTTTAGTTTCAGCTCCATTAAAATTTAATAAACCAATCAATTTCAAAATTAAATGTTTCTTATCCCATATGAAAGTAGTCTGTTTTATTTAAGAAAAATCACCTTTAAAAAAATTTAATGTTTGAATGTCAATAAATTGTTGACATGGACTGGTTTGCGGGTAAGCTTTTATACTTAGTGTACAATAAAGATTCAGTTTTGATGTCAATATAGTTGCTTCTGAAAGAATTAAACTATAAACAATAGCATTTATATTAATATCTCAATGGCAGTTCAGTATACTTTCATCATTGTTTTCAAATAACAAAACAGAACTACAGTTTTAAAATTGAAAAAAAAAATGAAAATAATTTCATAAATGGATGGTTTTTTAATTACTTAAAACAGAAGATGCATCAATACAGCATTACAATGTATATGATTAATATTTCTTTTCATGGACAATCATCATTTAAATTCTTCATTAAAAGTTAAATTCAGCTTCCTTGTGTCTAAAAATCCACATCCATGCTGTTCCATTTACCTAGAAATTAAATAAATAATATTTTTAACAACTTTCTGTAATATGAAAAAATTAATCATTGATTAAAACAGACAGCCAATATAGCAGTTGAATTAAAATTCACCTGTTTCTGTGACATTTGCATGTAAAATTAGAGTGTTCAGAGGTATATACCCAGCCACCTTTAATTTCCCTATCTTGAGCCAGGTACTCATGAGAGCTGGTACTCATGAGACTTAGGACATCATACCAGGACTAAAACCAGGGATCTGAACTCTTATCTTTTAGGATAGAAATGTGAAAGCTACTGTCTGACAGTCCCACTATCAAGCCATACATATTAATACTTACAGTATATAATCTTAGTAGCAACATATTCTTTAAGAATTAGAACACTGAATCGATTTCAAACTTGGGCTTAAGCTGAAAAATGGCTTATTATAAAAAAAAAATTCAGCTCACCTTTAGTTCAAGATCAGCACCAATAGCCACAGTAAAGTGTGAGAAAATTGCTTGCCAAGTACCTAGGGAATTTAAATATAATAAATTAAGTTTATCCATATATTATATTAAAATAATTATTTAACTAATATGAGATATTAATATATATATATATATATATATATATATATATATATATATATATATATATATATATATATATATATATATATTTATAAAAGGTTTAATTTATTGTAAAGGTTCAGTTTTCTATCTACTTAGCTTGTCTTAAAAACTAAAATATCTGGTTTACAGTTAACCATATCTTAACTATTACAAAACTATTAGTTTCATTTTCATTACTTGTAACTAAAAATTGTAGTCAATAGATCTAAAACTTAATTCTATTAACAGCTAACTGTAACCATATTGACTCTGACCAATTTATTAATTTTTGTACCCTGTAATTCATTAATAATTAGGCTTATACTAAAAGGCCGAAAGTTATCAATTGTAGATTTTATAGTCCCTGGTCTAGACTAACAAGACTAGCCTACAAGTCTAAAAGTACTAATACACATGATCTAGTTTATAAGTTTACTACTAGGCAACTTGCTAGAAGACTAGTACTTAACCAAACTTTAACTTGCTAAAAATAAAAGGGCCTAATACAATAATAGATGGCCTAGTAATACTTTTTTTTTACTGTGCTACTTACACTGCTTTTGGTACTATTACTATGACTAACTAACTACTAACTAAACTCTATTGTAGCTTGATGGAGATCTATCATCTTGCTCTTCTAGTAGTCTACACTACTTACTACTTAGAAAAGTAGTAGCACTACTGTAACAATTTCAAACTAAATTTAATCTATATATTACTAGATCTAGATCTACTCATTGCAACACTATAGTCTGATAAGTCTGTAAGCCCTAAATGTATCTAGACCTAGATTCTAGTCTAATTTAGTTTCAGTCTAGTTATTAGTACCTACACTCTACAATAGTCTACAGTACTCTACACTACACTCTACTACTACTCTAATCACTCTACTGGCTACTGATCTAGATCTAGTAAATAGCTAGAGTAGATCTAGTCTAGATTCTAGATATAAAAAAATTAATTTAAAATTAAAAACAGGTTAGCCTTACTATGCATTACTAGCTCTTACTAAACTTAACTAGGGTAGGTTTTACCTAAACTAGATCTAATCTAGATCTATCTAGATTTAGATCTAGAATCTACTAGATTCTCTAGATCTAATTCTAGATTTTAGATCTAGGGCCTACCATACTACCATCTGCAACTAGAATCTAGATCTAGATCTAATTCTATTCTACTATCTCTATCTAGATCTAGTAATACTATCTATCTAGCCATCTATCTACAAGCTACTTCTAATAACTAATATATATTATCTAGATCTAGAATCTAGATTCGATTAATAAGTAAGTCGTAGGCTGAGTGAGACTGGAAGGAAGTCATCCTCATTTTCCTGTTGTTTTAGTTTTTACCGTCATCCTTTTCTTAATATTTTAAATATTTAATCTAGATCACTAAAATACTAGATCTAGATCTAATATATTCTAATTCATGAACTTATACTCTTAGAACTAGATTAAAGCAATGTAGATCTTAGTAGGTAGATTCTAGAATCTAGTCTAGGTCTAGGTCTGGGAATCTTGTCTCGTAGCAAAGACTGAGTAGAGTCAGAGTAATGTCCCCTAGCCTTGGACAAACTATCAACAAAAGAAATAAAATCAATATACTTACCGCCACAAAACTTTTATATTCAAAAATGCATACACATGTGTTTGTTGTTCCCATCCATTTGAACAAAACAGCGTTGGACGTTTTTACAGTTGTTGCATTTCTGGAACGTTTGATGATTTTGAAATCTTGAAGCGGGACCTACTAACAAATAGCCGCCATGTTTTTTGTTATCAATGGGAAACCCCGTTCACAACAATTGATTTAGTCCGAAAACTTTTATCTCTCCCTGGCTAACCAGACACGAATTAACGCGAGAAAGAACGATAAACTTACAAGTTCTATAGTGGTGGGTATTCTGATGTATTGGTATGACTTAAAGGGACAGTAACTTTCACTTAAATGCTGTGGGGTAAGATAACATTGTGGGGTATATGGTAACGTGTTGTATATAGTTTGTTGTATGTAGTAGTAAAGTTGTATGTAGCAGTGTGTTGTATATAG